CTACCTATTAGTAATAGAGCAAAAGAAACCCTCAGGCCAGGGATGTAATTTCAAGAACACTGGTCAGGAACTAAAGAGCCTTGTGCTCCAGGCTCCACTCTGTTGTGAACCCTGTGAAGGCAACAGGGATACAAGGCTCTCCACAGGTTTGTTCGGTAGCCCAACACTGCCCATCCCTTGGCTCACTGCTTCCAGAAAGCTGAGGAGGGAACAGACAGACATTCCTGCCTGCACTGCCCTGCTTGTGAAACCCACTGCAACATCCACCTTCTCCGTCACTCACTATCCCAACGCTGAATAAACTGACTTCAGGCAAACAGAGTAACAGCAATTCACCAGCCACCCATCATGACAATCATATACACACTCAAAAAAAGTACCCCAGACTACATGGTCTAATAAAGTCTCTTCTAGCTTTAAAATTCTATCAAAAGTATCATTCTCTTTGTTTTAAGCCTTATAACTCTGATAACTGTTCTCATTTTAACCAAAGAAAAGGCAACTAAGCCTCCAGAATAAAAAGGCTCGTGTGTGCCAATTGAACCCTAGAACGCTGGAACTTGAGCTACTCCCAAGGATTATTGAGCTTGTTTAATACTTCATGATCACTTCTGTGCCACCTGCCATGTTATTAGCATAAAAACAGTGGACATCTAATTTGAAGGACTTAAGAGAAAAATAGAGGAAGACGTTACAAGAAATCCTTGGACATTAAAAAAAATGAAACCTAAATGCTTCATCTGTACATTTATTTGTGCCATATAAACATTTTTTTAAAGGGGCTAAGAAGTATAAAATGTCATTAAGAAAAAAATGCCAGGGCGCCTGGGTGGCTCAGTGGGTTAAGCCTCTGCCTCTGACTCAGGTCATGATCTCAGGGTCCTGGGATCGAGCCCCACATCAGGCTCTCTGCTCAGCAGGGAGCCTGCTTCCCCCTCTCTCTCTGCCTGCCTCTCTGCCTATTTGTGATCTCTCTCTGTCAAATAAATAAAAAATAAATAAATTAAAAATAAAATCTTAAAAAGAAAAAATGCCTTTGCAACATGGCAAGGCAGGAGACCACATCTTGTGAGAGATTTTGTACTTTGAAGTCATTTTTCTCTCAGCCGTTGTGGGTGTTCTAAGATCACAGAGCTAAGGCACCTTCAAGAGCTGATACAAATTCTCTCTTCTTTGCTTGACCCAGCCCGTTGGAATGATAACGTGAAATCACTTTCATTATGGTCTATTAATTTTTAAAAGGCTGTGGTAGTTAACTTTCAAACTGTTATCCCTTATAGATTAAAAGTAAAATACCTCAGTTTTCTGAAAGCCCTATTTGGATCTTTAAATATAAATGCAATTCCCTTTTTAACTATACTCATGCCTGCCATCAAAATTTTTTAACCACAGAAATTATTTTCTAAAGCAGAAGCACAACACATATTTCAACTCCCACGTAATAACACTGCAAAATTTGGTAACATCTGCATATTTTCTTTCCTAATTGCGATGTTAGTTTGAAGTTAATTATATGAAACTGATTTTTTTCCCAAGCACAACTTTCATATCACATTTAGTTTAATTGGTACTTTGAATAATAAATTGTTTTTCAGCTAGAGCATATTGTTTGATATTGCTAATGAAATGATTTTAATGTTAAGCTTCCTTAGGAGGAATCTTATTTTATCTCTTATTTTTAAATATAATTCTACATTGTCATACCCTAATTAACCTAGCTATTTTCTTTTTTTTTTTTTTCAATCTTCAGGATAACATTATATCAAAACACTATAATAAGTGGCAGGGGATAGTGTCTTTAAAAGGAGACAGTGTCAGTTACATGTGAATTCTTCAATTTCACCATATATTTGTGCTGTTGTTTAAAAATATTTTTGCTTTAACTATTCTTTTTTTTTTTAAGATTTTATTTATTTATTTGACAGAAATCACAAGTAGGCAGAGAGGCAGGCAGAGAGAGAGAGGGGGAAGCAAGCTCCCCGCTGAGCAGAGAGCCCGACATGGGGCTCGATCCCAGGACCCTGGGATCATCACCTGAGCCAAAGGCAGAGGCTTTAACCCACTGAGCCACCCAGGCACCCCGCTTTAACTATTCTTAACTGCCAAACACATCACAGTACCCTTAGTGGCCCATCAGTAAACAGCAGTTACCACTATTAATAATAATGCCAGTATAACCTTTAAGTCATGTATAGGCCTGCAGCGTTAGAGGGAGTGGCCAAGGTAACAGAAGTTCTACATCTCTAATAACCTGAAACTGGTATCATCTAGGTTCTTTCAATTCAACAAATATTTATTGAATCTTATCTATGTCTGCTTAGTACTATTGAGCTATCTAAGGAGGCAAAGGCAGAAAAAAAAATTCACTCAGTTCCTTGTTGAATCATTATATTGTATACCTGAAATGAATAGACACCGAATGTTAAGTATATTGAATAAAAAAAGTAAGTAAGTAAATAAATGAATAGATAAAGACTTATTTCTTGCCGTGAAGGTCATTACTAGTTGGGGCTAAGGAATGGAGTGATTAACAAGACTCCACGATTTTCTCTCAGTTATATATTGTGTGGCATTATTCTCTGCATTTCGTAATATCAGTAGTTAAAAACTGTAAGATATTAGAGGAAGGAAAATTCCATGCAAAGTGAAATCAATTCATGCGGCCTTGCGATGGAGGTAGGACCTGAATTAAACATGGAAAAACTGGATTGGATTTGGAAATGCGGGTAAGAGGAGTTTCATGTGTGAGCAATAGCATGAACAAAGACTCAGAAGCAAGAGGAATCTTTGAAGGGTTCAAAGGATGAGTCTGCCTAGATCAGCCTAGAGTTCATGCTGGGGAGCACTGGAAGATCATGCTGGACATATACCATGATGTCATAGGGGACAAGGAGTGCCAGGATCAAGCATCTGTAAAATAATAGTAAGACACTACCGATTTCTGAATGAAGGTGCACATGACACCTCACGAAAGCCTGGCCTGAGGGTCAGCAACTAGACGACAAGTCAGGGGCTAAGAAAAGTATACAAGTACAAAAGAATAAGCAAAGTGGGCAGCTAACATGAAGCCTGGGTGACAAGAAAGTCTTAAAAATGAGGACATGTCTACCCAGGCATGAATCCCTTCTGGTCTTCCTTTGCGGGGGCAGGAATTATTTCCTGGGTCCTAAGTGAGTCTTAGTGAATCCTGTAGTGGAAATGTGAATCAGCTACTCCACATGGAGTACCAGGGATTTGGACAAATCCTGATGTGATCAAAAGGAAGTTTCAGGAAATGAAGAATGAATGAGCTCAGGGTTAATCCAGGTTTAGACGGGGCAGTTGAAAAATAATTATAACCAATAAGGAATGACATCATAGGCACTTAAAGGATAGTCATTGTGGGCATTGAGAGGAATGATTTGTATGAAAAACAGCTCAAAGTAGAAATGTATCAGTGAAGGGTGGCACAGAGATTTCACACCTGGGTAAAGAGGCAATAATAGTACCATGGACAGAAATACAAGAGGTAAGAAGGAAAGTTGTACATGAAGACCCCAGCATTTCCTGATTCACTTTTCCTGATCCAGTAGAACTTGGCTGGACAAAAAAAAAAGATTTATAGCACATGGCCAGTGGCCAACGTACTGAATAACTGGGACTGAATAAATCTCATGGAGATCTTTGAGTGTGGCTTATTTTATATTTGTCTTCTAACCACATCAGGGTTTTAGAGTAACTCTTGAAGGATGTGTTTACTTAAGGGATTTTCAGTAATTAGGGCACTACCTATTGTTTAAATACTGACAGAAATATGCTGAAAGCTTGGCAGATAAACAACTTGGCATATAGGAATGGAAGTCAATGTTTCAATAGATAAGTAAGTAGGTTACCTCGAAGTGATGCATTTGATTAAAGACTTTCTCCAAATTAAAGCTTTCTTCTTTACTCTGATTGATTAGATATGATCTTCTTTAGATACTATCTTCCAGTGATGTCGTGTCACTAAGACAGAAAATGGATTGAACAATTATTGGTCAGTATGAGTTAAAATAGTGATGTTCAGGTTGGAAAAAAAAAAAGTCAAATGAGGTGTTCAACAATAAGAACCATTTAACGTGTGTTTTTATTTATTCCTTTATTTAATATCTACCAGACAGAAACTATGTTAAGTGCTTTATATTCATTATTTGATTTCATTAACAAATAATCTCATGAAATATATACTTTAATTATTGTCATTTTCCACATAAGATAACTGTGGCCAGAAATATTAAGTTGGCTTAGATTATGCAAAGTTAATTAGAGATAGAAACAGAATTTCCAATCAGGTCTAGTGTGATTCCAAAGCCCTTATGTTTAAATGCTGTGCTATGCTTGTCTCTTCTAACTTGAGCCCCACAAATAAGATGACTGTGAATTTTATGAAGCCTTTAGCACTCCACCCATAAAAGATAAGATTTCTGTCATGTGTGAAGAAATAATGGTTCATTTATAAAATATGCCACTGAATGTTTAACAACCTATTTTCTCACATTTCTGGCAATGGGTATCTTTACGGTGTGGAACCAGATTCAATGCAGTAAGAGTTTAAATTTCTAGAAGTTGGATATAAACACATTACAAGCCTTTGTTGCCCTGATGACTTCATTACAACCCAGATGCTCTATGAGTATCTTAAACTTAGGTTGGGGATGTGGAAAATTATTTTATATTTATTTTAGGAAAAAGCCAGGTATTAGCAAAAGAAAAATCTGAGGCACCAACCACTGTTTTAAGAAAGAAAGAAAAGAAAAACCAAACTATACCTTTGTAAAATCTTCTGTTACACTCAATAAAATCTTAAAATAAATATATCATATGTATTCATACGTGAATGACATTTTATATGCATCTGTTTCTAACTGAACTTATGTTTCTATAACAAACACAAAATGCATGCTAAAGAACTTAAATTTTACACTATTATTCACCTATAAAACTAATGGAAAATTTTTTTCTTTTTTTTTTTGTCCTCACAGCTGAATTTTTATTCCTCTTGTGGGGTGTTTATCTCTGCTATGCAGTGCGGACGGTGCCATCAGCCTTTCACGAGCCACGCTATATGGCTGTTGCAGTTCACAACGAGCTCATTATCTCTGCTGTATTCCACACAATCAGGCAAGTGCCCTGTAGAGCTAGTAAATAACCGTTTTGTTTCTATGATGTGTTTCAGTTTAACTTAAATAGCAAAACTGGATAGCATGCATAATGGAAAGATTTAGGAAGGATGGTGTTTTTAAGTTGACTAATGTCTGTCGCAGAAATGGCAAATGAAGATAGCTTGTTGTTTATTTGTTTTTTAAGATTTATTTATTAAAGAGGGAGAACACACAGTGGAGTGGGGCAGAGGGAGATGGAGAGAGAAACCCAAGTAGACTCTGCACTGAGCATAGAGCCCAACGTGGGGCTCCATCTCAGGACCCATGAGATCGTGCCCTGAGCTGAAACCAAGAGTCGGACACCTAGCCAACTGTGTCCCCAGGTGCCCCTATATTTTTTTTTCCTAAACTGATGTTCTTAGTTCCTTCTAATGTTTTCTTATCACCTTTATTTATTTGAAGGTTAACTCAATATTACTGTATTAATTAAACCACTTATGGGAATATCATTGAATATTGTTATGATATATAATGTCTTCTGTTCTGAAGATATAAAACAACACATGCTTACATTATAAAGTAGATGTAGATAAATCATCTATGTTTCCATTCATGTTAATACACTGGTTTACACTTTTAAAATCTTAATACTCAGATAGTCAACTTAAGTGTACTAGTTCTGCTAAATTCAAAACCAAAAAAACCACTCCAACCCAATGACTGGATTTTTGTGTGCAATGAGGTTTTATCACTATCACATTTTAGCAATGACTTTTTATTAGTATGGCCTGGTCCTCCATTTCTTAATATCCCATTTATCACTATAGTCAGTAAGTACAAAGGAGGAAGCAAGTAGCTTATGATAGTGAACAAAATGAAATATGTATGACTTATCTTTGGAGAATTTACACCTATTTATATCTGAAAATGAAATGAAAACCTCAGTGAGAACAAAAAAAAGGAATCCTATAACTTGCAAAGCAACAAAAAGATGTCATTCATTTGCTTGACAAAGTTAGGACATACATAAGAATTTAATGAGAAATTTTGAATATTTGTCTTTTCCCTCAGTGGAAAAACAGTGATAAATAATGGTGGGAGTCAGAGTGGGAAGGTGTGGATCTTTGAAAGTTTTAGAAGATATTTATCATTTCTCACTTTAGTCAATAATTATCAAGTTACGTCTTGCACTTGTAGGAATAGATGATACCAGAGAACAGCTGAACCTTAGGCATACCTACACTTTTTCAACGTTTAAGAAAGAAAAGAAGTATTTATGATTTGACAACCCTGGAAATTCCATCAAAGCACCAGGAATCAAAGGAATTTGCCTCCTTGCTTTGTCTTGCCCCCTCTCAAGAAAGAGAGAAAAGAGAAAAGGAAAAGAGGAAGGAAAGATGCAAAACAAAATACGATGTTATAAATAGGCAAAAAGAAGGCTCTCTCACTTCTCCTCGGACTAGAGCTGAAGGATGTGAGAGGGGATGCCCTGTAGTGAGCACTGAAGAACACTGTTGTGGGCAGAGCCCCGCAGCCTGCACATTTCTCCCAAACCATCTCCCAAGAAAAGCTGCATTTTCATTGTCTGTTTCCAGAATATCAAACACGTGTTTCAAGATATGACAGACATGCTTCTCTAGAACCATTTGTAAGTTAAATGCTGTATTAACAAATCAATTAAAGAGTTATAAGCATGCCAGAAGAAATTTACAGATATGTTTAAATGTCTTCTGTTGTCAGAATGTGACCAGGTCATGCAAAGGGTTTCCTACTTTTGCCCTAACATCAGCTGCTGTATTTCTTAGAAACAAATTAATTGCCCGAGAAATTAAATCTGTTCAAAGCATTTACCTAAATTGATCTTTATCCTTTTCTATCTTAAGATTTACATCTGTTCTGTTTTCATCATTAAGTATGTTTTTTCAATGGACTTTTTTTTTTAAGATTTTATTTATTTATTTATTTAACACATTGAGAGAGAGAGAGAGAGAGAGCGAGAGCACTAGCAGAGGGACCTTCAGACAGAAGGAGAGGGAGAAGCAGGCTCTCTGCTGCAAGGAGCCCGACACAGGGCTCGGATCTTAGGACCCTGGGATCATGACCTGAACCGAAGACAAATGCTTAACCCGCTGAACCACCCAGGCGTCCCTCAATGGACTTTAAACTCTCAATTTGCCCAAGTAGGCAAGAAAGTTATTTTTTAAATGAACTTTTAAAAATTCCTAATAAGGCAATAGGTGGTTATTATAGATAAATCATAAAATGATTAAAAATAAACTGCCTAATCCAACCACCCAAAGACAATAAGCACTGTTGATATATTAGGATATCACTTTTGGATGTTTTTACACGCTTGTGTATATTTATAACACATTGCATTTGGTAGCTCCCTTTTAGGAATGTCACAGCACAGTGTGACATACCAGGAAGTCCTGCTGTAAGGAAATCTCGTTAAGTTTCTTTAACCAGCACTTTCCAAACCATTCACCATGATATCCCCCCTACATCAACTGACATCTGGTAATAGAAGCCACTCTTCAGAAAATTCTGTTTTAATACTTGGCCGAGGTGAGGAGAAATGTATTCTTTTTTTTTTTTTTTTTTATAAACATATATTTTTATCCCCAGGGGTACAGGTCTGTGAATCGCCAGGTTTACACACTTCACAGCACTCACCATAGCACATACCCTCCCCAATGTCCATTACCCCACCCCCCTCTCCCGACCCCCCTACCCCCAGCAACCCTCAGTTTGTTTTGTGAGATTAAGAGTCACTTATGGTTTGTTTCCCTCCCAATCCCATCTTGTTTCATTTATTCTTCTCCTACCCCTTAACCCCCCATGTTGCATCTCCACTTCCTCATATCAGGGAGATCATATGATAGTTGTCTGAGGAGAAATGTATTCTAAATATTCATTCAGGATAGCTTTCTGGGGGCACCTGGCTGGCTCAGTCAGGGAGCATGCGACTCTTGATCTCAGGGTCATGAGTTCAAACCCCACACTATGCATAGAGCTTGCTTTTAAAAAACAATAATAATAATAATAACTTTCTTACTTTGATTAGGTCTTTCTTACAGAGTCCCAGACAACCCATCAGCCTAGCTGGGTTCACATAGACACAAGATCTGACTGAGTTGTACATGTTGAACCTAGTAGACTTTGTGTTGGTAGACATGACCTACTTAAAAGATCAGCCTCCCTCGAGACAACTGTATAGTCCTTTAAGTTTTGAACAGGGAGAACTTCTAGTAGTAGCAGAGTGACTGGCCTTGGTAGGCTTTGGTATTTTCTTAGATAAGCTTAAAAAAACCTGAATGGAAAGCCTTACCTTTTAAAAAAATTTTTAAATTAACATATAATGTATTATTAGTCCCAGGGATACAGTCTGTTGATCATCAGGTTTACACACGTCACAGCACTCACCATAGCACATACTCTCCCCAGTGTCCATATCCCAACCACCCTCTCCCTCCACCCTCCCAACCCCGCAACCCTCAATTTGTTTTGTGAGATTAAGAGTCTGTTATGTTTTGTCTCCATCCCGATCCCATCTTGTTTCATTTTCTCCTTCTCTACCCCCCAAACCCCCCACTTTGCCTCTCAAATTCCTCGTATCAGGGAGATCATATGATAATTGTCTTTCTCTTATTGACTTACTTTGCTCAGCGTAATACCATCTTGTTCCACCCACATCATTGCAAATGGCAAGATTTCATTTCTTTTGATGGCTGCATAGTATTCCTTTGTGTATATATACCACATCTTCTTTATCCATTCATCTGTTGATGGAATTCTAGGTTTTTTCCACAGTCTGGCTATTGTGGACTGCTGAAAAACCCTACTTTTAAGTTCCAAATTCAACTTACCTTTCTCCATAGACCAAACCCAATTAGATCGTGGCATGTTGGCTTCAAAGAATTATAGTATAGACTAGCTACTCTGTCTTGGAAATTTAATTGTATGGCCATAAAGGACCAAAGATGGAATTATAGTTTAAATTATAGTTCAACACAGTAAATCTATAGAACACTGATTTTAGGGAGATGAGCAGGGAGAAAGCAATAGGCAGTAATAATTAAAGAAATCAAATATATATAATTTCTTAATTACATGTGGACTGAACTCATACCTGCTGTGGTTCCAGTGTTGATAAAATCTAAGAATAGGAAACAATAACATAATAATATAAATCAACTAGACCCATCTTTGTAGATTTTTACTAGAATGAAATAATATTAAATAAATCCTCCAACATCAGCAGATATTCTCTATCAATAGGCATATATGTTCATTCTTATTTGCTTAAAATATAAAATTATATGTACATAACTGTGGATACGTATCTACATACATAAATATATAAACTTAAAGCTATGACTATATATTTATATGCAGATTTACTTTTATTCTCACCAAATTGCCAGACTGAACAAAAATAAACTAAAAGGATTAAGTCTAGAAGTCTAATAATGCAGAAGGCATTTTGCCTAATCTGTTCTATAATCCTTTACTAAGCATAGAGCAAAGCTTTGGGAAAGTGCAAGACTTTTAAAAATTTGCTTTTATTCTTAACCTCGATTTTAATTATTCCTATGTTCCTGACTGTTAGATCTATTTTTTAGAAGTTGAAAAAGTTTTTTAAAGAAAAATCTTTAAGAAGACTGCAAAACCCAATTTTTCTTAAGATATTTCTACTCAGAACTGCAACCTAACAAACCTAGCAGTATTTAAAAACTGATTAATTTGATCAGTTGATGTTAGTATAGAGTACTTCAAATTAACTTTTTGGAAGACTCACCATTTTAATTTAAAATATATGTAACCATGTTCCTTTCAGATATCATCAGGCTGGCTTCAGGTTCACTTGTGTTGGCATTTGAGACAGAAATTCGCAGTGCATGAGAACACTTTTAGAATGTAAATCCATCTCACTTGATATAACTGTCTGCTCCAGTGCTGGAAATGGCCCCAGCAGATTTGGATTATATAATTTTCCAGGTCACAATTTTATATTGCTTCTATGCCTCAGTCCTATGCCTCAGATACTGTTACTTGTTATTGAGTATGATGATCCTATTTCAGTGCTTAAAAAAAATCTCTTCTGACCCAGCACAGGATCTGTCAAAAGTATGTCATTCCCAAACAAAGTGATTATTCATTTAATCATATTCAAGGCAGGCATACTTTTTTCACCAAGAGTTAGAGAAGATGTTAATTCTTAAAATGCTATTTGGTTATAGGTAAACTATCATGAACTTTCTGTACTTCTATGTATATATTTTAAGTCTGTTTTATGTCTCCAAACACAGAGGAAACTATCTCCATGTTGAACAACTCTCAAGCTTCCACTTTAGCTCGATTTGCAGGGGAGGGGAGGTGAGAAGACGGGGGATAGGATGGAGGTGAAAATGAGTAAGAAATCCCCTTGATGGAAATTTTGTTTCAAGTATTAATAATGCTAATTTACTTAGTAAATTTGTCATGAATATGGCATAATGCAGGTATAAAATAAGTTTCTTCTATTTTTAGATTCATGTGTTTGTTTTATGATTATATCATAAGCATTTTCTTAAGATGTTAGCTTTTCAAATATGATGACATATATCAGTGTATCAAGATGCCAATTCTCTAGGGGCACCTGGATGGCTCAGTCAGCGGAGCATCTGACTGTCCATTTCAGCTCAGGTCATGATCTCCAGGTGGGGAGCTGTGCCCCACATGGGGCTCTGCAGGCGATCAGTGGGGAATCTCTCCTTCTTTTCTTCTCCCTCTGCCCCTCCCTCTGCTCTCCTCTCTCTCTCTCTCTCTCTTTCTCTCTCTCAAATAAATAAGTAAATCTTTTTTTTAAAATGCCAATTCTTTAATTCCAAACACAATAAAATCTCATATTTAGCTTTCATGGATAAACAATGCATGGGAAAAAATTAAAAGAAGAGTATGATTGCAAAATGACCTTAATAAAACATCACCTGGTTTCTGCAAAAGAATGAGTCCTTAAAACCTGAGTTTTAGTGTGTACACATACCTACTGATTCATGAAAACATTCCAAAATCACCAGAGTAGGTATCAGTACTGGATTTTTCTTATACATGTTGCCTGCAGGACTGTTCTAGAACACCGTTTTATAAATTCCTCAGCAAGATAGGATTTTCAGTTATCTAAAAACAATTTGACACTTCACAACAACTAAAATCTTTATTTTAAAAGATGATATTACAAACCATTAGTATATTCATTTAACCATTGCATTGTTTATCATTTAAACCTCTGAGGTCATTCACAAAGACAGATAACTACCCACCCCTTTTTTCTTAATTAATGTTTTCAAAGGAAAAAGATTAGAATCAAGAATTATGTGGCTGTGTCTTATAACCCAAATTTGCCTGAAGCCACTAGTTTGTAAATCTGTTCTTTTGAATTCACATGTGTTCACTGTTTTCACTTTAGACATTCCATTTACATGCAAAATAATTATTCCAGGAAATGATTAGCATATTATATGCTGTCTTTCCTACTACTGATAAGTTAAAATAATAAATAGGGAGTTCATGTCTTACGTATGCAGTCAGTTACTTTGGGTCTCGTTCTGTGATGAAAATGTGTGTCACAGAGACCACAGTACAACTTTCTTCACGCTTGCTTGCTTGCTTTTAAAAAACACTGAGGAAAAAAAGTTTCCAAATATCCTAGTATTTTAAATAGAGATCTTGTTGGATTACTAACTTGGTGAATTCTCATTTCAGATTCGTTCTTGCCTCAAGACTTCAGTCTGACTGGATGCTAATGCTGTATTTTGCACATACTCATTTGACTGTGACAGTCACCATTGGGTTGCTTTTGATTCCAAAGGTATTCCTCTAACATTACTTTTCTCTTGCAAGACAGTTATTTTAAATAAGCATGGAGTTGTTTCCTCTTTTTTTAAAAAAAAAAAAGTATCTGGCAATATAGGGAAAGGAAAGTGTGGAGATTTAGTTGACACTAAAATGTTTTTAAAGCTCTCTCCTCAGGGAACTAGATATCTCTTTTCTTTTAGAATTTATTAAACATCCCATAGAATTTTTAAATGCTTCAGTTTATACAAAACTCATCTGGTTTGGCTCCTTCTCAAATATATATTTTTTAAGAATTTATTTATTTATCTGACAGAGAGAGAGATCACAAGGAGGCAGAGAGGCAGGCAGAGAGAGAGGAGGAAGCTGACTCCCTGCTGAGCAGAGAGCCCCATGCAGGCTCGATCCCAGGATGCCCCGTATCATGACCTGAGCTGAAGGTAGAAACTCAACCCACTGAGCCACCCAGATGCCCCTTTCTCAAATATTTTTATATTCAGATATGATTTAATTATGGGTCCAAGGTAACTTTTATTGTACCTATAACATCAAAGTAATTTTTAAAGAGATTCTAAGAATCTTCCTGTTTGGATTTATATTCAGGAAGCTTTGTGTTGTAAACATTCAGAAAATTTTTATGTACATAATTATAATATTTTGTATAGAAAAATCTTGCTTCATAATGATAGATTCTGGGAAAGACTTATCTAGACAGCATACCGAAGTGGGGGAAAATGGGCCAGCCCTCAGAATACCAGGATTAAGAATATATGTTCCACTCACACTGGCTATACAGTATGACATTAGCCAAAACTTCATCTCTCTGAGGTTCAGTTTCTTCATCTATGACACAATAGCAATAAAACAGCTTACAATGAAATAATATGATATCAGAGTGTGGGAAAAAAACACAAGTTAGAGCATTATTTTTTTTAAAGACTTTATTTATTTATTTGACAGACAGAGATCACAAGTAGGCAGAGAGGCAGGGAGAGAGAGAGGGGGAAGCAGGCTCCCTGCTGAGCAGAGAGCTTGCCTGGCGGGGGGGGGGGGGGGGGGGTGTCTCGATCCCAGGACACTGGGATCACGACCTGAGCTGAAGGCAGAGGCCCCAACCCACTGGAAGGCAGAGCCACCCAGGTACCCCCAAGTTAGAGCATTATTATTATTTTCCTCATTTACACATAGAAAAACAAAATATTGGAACATCATTTATCTGTATTAGTACCACACGATATAATATTAACACAGCTGAGACAGGAATTTATGATTGCTTGTCATTCACTCCAGGTTTTACCTCCTCTCATAAGTGAAACATTAAAATTCAGCCTGACTAAAAGGGCAAACAAATGTAAACAGAACAAAATTCCTATTTTCTTCCTTACTTGAATTATATATACCAAATAGCCACAGTTTTCATGGACTAATCTGTTACTGCAATTTATCTTCTCCTTTTTCATACTTTGCATTATATGGTTACCTGTTTATTAAATGGAGGTACTACATATGCAGACGGCTCATTCAGTGGTAAGAATTAAAACACATATTCATAAAGATTGGTACATGGATGTTCCTAGCAGACTTATTGATAATAGCTAAGAAGTGGAAACAATCCAAATGTCCATCAACTGATAAATGTAGAAGCACAATGCAGTGTCACCTACACAATGCAGCACTACCCAACAATAAGAAGGAGTAAAGCACCAGTACGCACTATAGCTAGTACGCACCTTGAAAACATTACACCACGTGAAAGAGGCTAGACACAAAGGCCCATCTTGTGTGATTCCATGTATATGAGATGTCCAGAACAGGCCGCTCTGTTGAGACAGAAAGCAAGTTAGTGGTTGTCACTAGCTAGGGAAGAGAGGAAACAGAAATGACTGCTTTCATGGGTTTAAGGTTCTTTTGGGGGGGTGATGAAAATATTCTGGAATTAGATAGTGGTGATGGTTGCACAGCACTGTGAATATATACCAAAACCTCTCAACTGTACAATTGAAATTCGAGAATTTTATGGTATGTGAACTATATCGCAACTTGAGATAATTTAACAAAATCATTGAGGGGCTTCGCTAAGCTCTGTTCTATATCCTGGAATAAGAATAACGAACAGATAAAATATGTGCTCTTGTGGTATTTATATTGTGGACAAGGGGGACACAGAAGAAATAGGTTAAGATAAGCATTCAAAATACTCTTTTAGATAGATATAAATACTAAGGACAAATAATAAAGCAGAAAATGGATATTATCTGAGAAGTGTTCCTTAAACTCACCATCATCTCTGAGACTGTGCTCAAGAACAATTACTCTCTTATCAATCACTTCTGGGTGGTTTCCTAGCAGCATTTGAGATTTTGGAGGAGACGGACTCTGTTTTATTCATCTTTATGACCTTAAATTCCTGACACATGTCAGAACCATAGTTGTAAGTAGAAGAGTGAAGGAAAGAGTCACCTGTTTCTGTGGTTTCTCAGTCAGTTCATGATTCCTTACGTAGAGAATTGCTGTTTCATGTTATATTATATAGCTGTTCACCTGCCACTTAAATATTTTAACAAACATTGACATTAAAATAGCTCTGTATCATGAAAGGGTGATGTGTTAATTTTTTAAAGGAATATTTGACCTGATGAGCAGTTGGGAGAAGAGAACCCATGTTCCCTAGACCATTCTCTCCATTTTCATAGGACAATCAGTTGGTTTATATGTTATGTGAAATGGCCAGATTGTTTTGATTCTCCCTGCTTTCCATCATTTCCCCAATTCATTCTTCTCCACATCTCCATTTGATGAAGAGTAGAGATAGCAAGAGTCCATGAAACTAAACGTACCCAAAGGCCACGTGAAAATAATAAAAATACCTCAAAATGTGACGAAGGAGGAATTTGAGAATGCTGAGCTTGAGAAAAAAATTCTGTAATTTCAGTGAACGTTTGAATTTTAAGCTTAGATATCATCATCATTTTAGGCTTAAAGAGCCCTGTGCTCCAGAGAGTGTCTGATTTGTTTCCTATCTGACTATCAACACAGTTGATGCCAGCATGCAGATCTCCTATCCCTTAGGTCCCGGAGGCAACATTTCTGGAGCCATGTGTAGTAGACTCAAAGTCACTGTCTGTGTTCAGGGCCAGTTGTACCTTTCGGTGACATATAGCCTCCCCTAGGTGATGCAGAACAAGAAACGCGAGGTAGACCCTACTGCTCAAAAAAAATATTTCCCTCCAGCTGCCAGTGGGTCCAAATTCCTACTCTTGGAGAACATTTGTGTGGGTTTTTCAACTTATTTTCATTCTCAGAATGCAAATAACTTATATGAGGATTAACGTAAGTGAACACTGTGAGCCTGGAGAAAAGACAAAGATGAAAATAAGGGTAGGAGAACCACGTATTAAGGAACCACGTATTAAGATGGCCTAAGAGCTCTAGTGCGTAACGTGAAAAGCAAAACATAAATATAGCAACAGATCTTTTTAAGGAGCTTGGTAAATGAGTTCATCTAAGCTGAAGAAATGATATGAACATGAGAACCTTTAACAAATTATTCTGCTGTGTCTGCCAGTGGGTTCATGTCTGCACTCATTCTGCGTCTCTATTGCAGTTTTCACATTCAAGCAATAACCCCCGAGATGACATTGCTACAGAAGCGTATGAAGATGAGCTGGACCTGGGCCGGTCTGGGTCCTACCTGAACAGCAGCATCAACTCCGCATGGAGTGAGCACAGCTTAGACCCGGAAGACATTCGGGTAATGTCTGTATTTCAGCCTTCCTGTTTCGGGCTCACCCCGTGCACACAGGCAAGCACGCGTGGGCTGACGTATCCATATGCTCACCTGTGTGCACACGGGTCCAGAGGGAAAAAGAGAGGGGGGATGTGTGTGCGTAAGAACTGAAAACATCGAATGCGGGGCTAACCCAGTTCTAAAACCCACATCATGGTAGAAGTTACAGAGGCCAGTCTTGACAGTCACAACTGACTTAGGAGCAGTCATGATGATGAACTCATGATACACGTTCCCTACTACAGGTTCTGACATCTTGCTGTTAGGAAGAGATAGGATAGATCTGCGAGCAGAGAGCCCGGATTACTGAAAGTAATTTGTGACAGTATATCAGCATTTGGAGTAAGAAGCTGCTTTTAGTAATCGATGGTCTGTTGTCCCCTAAACCTAATCCACATTACAGGTAATTTTATCAATGGCTACATGATGCTTCCAGTATTGATTAGGAAACACAATATGCTGTGTTTTGTTATGGCCAAGGTCAAGTCCGGCCCACACAACTTGTAAGTCCAACGGGCTCATTCCATGTGCAGGATGCATGTGTTCAAGTCTTAAAGTTCAAACTCTACGGGTAGCAGAGCACAGGTTCATCAGAAAAGTAAGAATGAGGAGAAGGTTGATGAGCACACGTGGTATGAAAAGCTGTAGGTCAGTTTCCCTAAAGAGCTCAAGCTTACTGACCTAGTTACCTTTAGCATTAGTATCTGGCTGAACCACTAAGTCCCGCATCTCTGTGAATTTGCTCTTGTTCTGGCAGGATGAGCTGAAGAAACTCTATGCCCAGCTGGAGATATATAAAAGAAAGAAGATGATTACGAATAACCCCCACCTCCAGAAAAAGCGGTGCTCCAAGAAGGGCTTGGGCCGTTCGATCATGAGGCGCATCACCGAGATCCCAGAGACAGTCAGCAGGCAGTGTTCCAAAGAGGACAAGGAAGTCACAGACCACAGCATGGCCAAAAGCACTGCCCTGACCAGGAAGAACCCACAAGAGTCTTCAGGTAATACTGGGAAGCCCAAAGAGGAGTCCCTGAGAAACCGAGTCTTCTCGCTAAAGAAATCACATAGCACTTACGATCACGTGAGGGAGCACACAGAAGAGTCCAACAGTTTACCGGTGGAAAGCCAGGAAGAGGAGGCTACAGAAAATTCCACACTGGAGTCTCTGTCAAGTAAAAAACTTACCCAGAAGCTAAAAGAAAACAGTGAGACCGAGTCCACAGAGTCTGTGCCTTTGGTGTGTAAGTCGGCAAGCGCTCACAATCTCAGCTCAGAGAAGAAGCCGGGCCACCCCCGAACATCCGTGTTGCAGAAGTCTCTCAGTGTCATAGCAAGTGCCAAGGAGAAGACTCTTGGATTGGCTGGGAAAACCCAAACATCGGGCGTGGAAGAACGTGCAAAATCCCAGAAACCTCTGTCAAAAGAGAAAGAAGCAAACAGAAAGTACTCCAATTCAGATAATGCAGAGACTAAAGATTCTGCCCCCCAAAACTCCAATCATTTGGAGGAGCCAAGAAAACCTCAGAAATCTGGGATTATGAAGCAACAAAGGGTCAACCCGCCCACTGCCAGTTCTGACATGAGCCCAGGCACCACCAAGAAGAAGAACAACTTTGACATAGGGGAGGTGTGCCCTTGGGAGATTTATGACCTGGCCCCTGGTCCTGTGCCTTCAGAATCAAAAGTTCAAAAACACGTATCTATTGCAGCTTCTGAGATGGAGAAAAACCCAACTTTTTCCTTAAAGGAGAAATCTCATCAGAAGACCAAGGCAGCTGAACTGTGTCAGCAAACCAGTCAGAAGAGCATAGACAAGGCTGAGGTATGCCCTTGGGAGAGCCAAGGTCAGCCCGGTTTTGAAGATGAGAAGCCTTTGATTTCTAAGACTCAGGTTCCCCCAGGGAGAGCCAAAGATGAGAACGGCAGTCAGCATTATGCCACCAACGTGTGTGCTGGGCAGTACGAAGAACCACCCCCCAAAGTTGTAGCACCAAAAATCAAGAATGAAAATCTCAACCCAACAGGAGACCAGGAAAAAAAGACCTCTTCCCCCGAGGAAAATGCGCCCCGCTCCTATAACTCAAGTAATAACCTTTGGCAGCCTTTAACATCACGAGCTGAGGTGTGTCCTTGGGAGTTTGAGGCCGCAGATCAACCAAATGCTGAAAGAAGTGTAGCTTTACCTGCCTCTTGCACTCTAAGTGCAAACAAGATGGCGGGGCCTCGGAAATAAGAGGTCAGGGATCCTTTTAAAGTGTAGCATCCCCAGAAAGAAAAGGAGAAGGAAGAAACCCTGAATTCGACAGAAGACAGAAGGATCAAAAATTCCCAAGGAGTGTTTGTCATTGGAGGGAAACGTGAAAGTCACAAGTGGAAAAAGACAGGGAGGGCAGAGCAACGCCACAGTGGAAGAATGAGACTGGCCAAGGGAAGTCTGTCTTCCCCTGAGAACACGAGGAGAAGCCTTACATTTCAGCATGGTTAGCGGGAGTCGCCCTCACTGTCTGCCCCTGATCAGTATTTACCCGTGGCACTTTGAAAATCCTAAGCAAGGTCAACCGTAAGACACAGAAGAGGTATGAGATTCTGCAAAGAAGAAGAAGGAAGGTATAGACCTATATGACCGAAGTTCTAAGTAGCTAACTGAACTTCCTTCACCTGTTTAACCTTGATAGCACTGCTCACGTAATGCATCCCAAAAATACCTTTTATATTAATGATTGCTCTCATTTTCTTATAAATGTATGTTTCAGTACATTGTTGTGTCTCATATTCAAGCATTCCAGATTGTATAATTTTTGCAAATAACTTTGATATTACGTGACACAACACATTTATGCAATCTGCAGCTACTCAATTGTTATTGCAAGTTCCAGAATCCCTGCTATACCAACTTTAGTTGATTCTCGAAGTACAGTAAGCTTTCTCTGGCTTGGGAAGCCGTAACCGTTATGATAAAATCTTTCCGTTTTGGCTGTGGTTTATATATTGTGAATTTGGATTTGACTCTATTGTTTCACATCATGGTTTGTTATACTGTCTTAATCAGGGTTTTTTATACCAAGTTGAGTTACTTGTTTTGCACTTCTTGTTAGGACTCAGAGATCCAGGGGTCCTACCAAGTCGTATGTCTCAATAAAGGACAACTTACCTATTGTTTGTTTAGAGTCAGAGACAGGTCACACCTTCATTCCAATTTACTGTCCCTTTTAATCCTTTCAGTATTCCATACTTAGCAGCATTTCGCCAGGAAGAAGCTAAGAGTGAGAAAAACATACTGTGTATTACTATTACCACTGAAAAGGGAAGACTCTAGGAATGACATGAGAACTACAGCAGTACTGCAGGGTCAGGGAATTTGCCTTTCAAAACACAGACAGGAAGGGAGCTACTGATAGCACTTTCAAGGGAGTATTTTTTTAAAGAGAAAAATTATGATAGCATCAAGATCATTGTACGGATATATTTTTATTATGCATACTGAATATATATTTTAAATTACCTTAAACTACTTATTCTCATAACTCTTATTCATTGCTTCAGCTAGGGGTAACACTTGCTGGGCTTCAATCCCAAAGAGGTTTATAACCTGATTTATTCAAAGCCTATAAGGTGGTGTGGGCTCTTCCTCCTGCCAAGCACTGGAAAACTTACAAGTCCTGCAAATTGCCATTGCGAGCCACCCAGCTCAAAAAAAAAAAAAAAAAAAAAAGCAAGGTTTATTTGCAAAGCAAAACAGCCCCCAGAGCAAAATTTGTAAAATGTACTGCGTTCTACCCTGATCACTTGGCATGAGAATCCTAAGCTGCTGACTTAGCCCTACTGATGTGATCATGCAAGAGATTCCATTCCAAATCTCGGTCTCATTTAAAGAAGAATCACTTAAGGATAGAACGCAGACTTCCCTTTCTCTCATGCTAGATGCTGAAGGATCGACGGCTTCCTTGGCCAGGACATTTCCAGCCTAACAAATGGTTTTTCATCTCCTGGGCAGCAAGGAGAACATGCTAGGGGGGTAAAAGGAGAGAAAAGGGAATCAGAGGATAGATAGAGGGCTGTTCTGAGAGCAGATCATTCTCAGTGGAAGCTAGAAACTAGGACTTCTCCTTACTCCTCATCAGGATTTTCTCACTGGTTTCTATTCAGGAGGAAGCGAGCACGTCGCCATTTTGCAAAGCTGTGCGTCCATCTTCCTCACCCATTCGCTTGCTTTGTGCGCTACTCAGGTCGGTGGGGTAGGTGTGAAGAGATAGAGAAATTCTGTTTTTCTGTGTTTCCTTCATTTACTTCCTTCTTTTCTTCCTTTCCAGTCAAGGCCTCTCTATTTGGTAACCTCGGAACACAACTTTAAGGTATATTTATGAACTTGGTTTGGAATTTCTAGGCCCACCTACTTGTTTCATTTATGTTCAAGGTCTGTTAGCACTTTATTCACTTTTTGAGAAATAAGCAGTTCAAGCATCGGTGACTTTTTATTGCACTTCAGGATGATCCTGCTGGAGATGTGGCTTAAAGAAGACTTGCCAAATTATACCTTAGTGACATTCTACAGTCCATAGATTTTCCTCCACCAGCATAAATCGTGAGAGTGCCTCGGGTCTTTCCTAGAGTTTCATTGCCATTACTTATCACCACAAGAAGTTTAAACCTACAATTCTTGAGGTTATTTTCCTAGATCGGTAACAGTAAGAAAGTGAATCCACACTGTTAAGGTCACAAACATTTGCTAGGTTGTCCTTCTCAATGCATGTGCAGGCTGCCTCCCGTCCTTGTTTTTAAGCCAGGGTTTATAAATAAGTAGATTTATACCAACCTTAATAGAACTGTATATTTTATGCAAGAATTAAATGCTTTACAACATGAACTGTAACTCAGCCCATTGTAAACTTTGGTGGCAATATGGATTTGAAACTCGACAGTTCTCTTGTATTTGCTTCCTAGGTTTCTGCATGCAAGTGGTGACAGGTAGGACTGAGAAACACTGCCTTTTGACTTCTAGCATTTAGCAACCGAGAGTTGTAGAGTCAATAAAGCTGTAAGTCTCTTCACTTAATCTGTGGTTCTTCTGAAACTATTATCTGAAACCTACAGCATCCCACCATGAAAAATATTTGGTAAATTTATGTTGTGATGTGTTACAGCATGTAAATAATTATAACTTCTCTGCAATAAAACATATTTATACGAAAGTGATTTATGGTGATTTGCGTGTTTATCAAAAATCAAATTTATTTCACCTAGCCAACTTTAGAGGGAATCCCATGTATCCTTGGCTTTGGTACACTTATGCACCTACATCCTCTTATGCCCGTCTACAGACATATGTGATTGGCCAAATGTGGCCTCAAACATACAGGTCATCCTTTGGAGCCAATAAAACCTCTTAGGGCTCATGATTTTGATTTAAGAAAGCTCTGCCCAAATGGGAAGTAATCCAGCTACCTTTTCTAATTTACTGAACACACATAGGCCATTTCCTAAGAATTGATGATCTTCTTTAGATGAACAATAATTCCAATATCCAGTATCCAGTCATCACTGTATTACTACAGAGGAGAGCCTGACTAATTCATGGAGTCAAGGGAGGCTTAAGAGAGATGGCAAGCTCCCAATGCTGAAATTCTGCAAAGGCATAAGTTATGAACAGGAAAAGGTTTAAGGCCAGAAAGGTAGTTGTGCCCAGCCTTGCAAGCCATGTAACCACACCTTTATCCTGCAGTACCGGAAACTATCAAAAAGCAGTAAACTGGGTCATAAGCAAGTTGTCGAGTAGAAGCATCATTTGGGGAGCAGCCCAGGGATGGACTGAAGTGGGAAGAGACCGCAAGCTGCTAGATTGGCTAGAATACCAGCACAAGAGTCAAGGGAAAGGAAGGTGAGGGCCTAAGAAGGAGAGGAAAACATTATTGGTTATTTTACCAAATTGGCATCTTCAGATGGGTTTGGTGTTACATTCTATGAGGTCAGAAAATCAGAGTCATAGATAACTATATCCAATATAATTGCTCCTTCCAACTTTATTGACATTTTGAGTAGTTTAAAAAATTTTTAAAGCCCTCTCGGAAAATTTGTAGACGTCATATCACCTGCTCAGGAGAAAAGCTGTGGAAAAGAATACAAAACTCATGCTACGAAAAACCTTGATATTACCTAGGCTGGGAAAAGAGGGAAGGGTTTGCTGCAGTAGGTCTTAAATTTCCATGTAGGAAGGCAGCTCTCTGAAGCCAGGGAAGCAGACGTGAGGCAAGGGGGCGGAAGACGGAGCTGGATGCCCCTTCTCCCTGCAGTCACCTTTCCCGTAACCAAGTCGCTGGGAATGCCCTTCCCCATCTCTTCACACTGTGTGTGTCCTATATTGTACATACTTTAGGTACTGAGACATAGAATCAGCGTTTTGAGTTCTTTGACCCTAAAGGACTAAAACAAAAGCAACTGGCAATTAGCAAGACAGGAAAGTCAAGTCTACTGTTCTTTCTTGTGTGATAAGATGGTCTTCTCAGTGTTTGTGGGACTACTTAGCTGATGGCTGTTATTTTCATACACACGCATAGTTCTAGGCATTCTTTCTTTGTTCTAAATGTAGAACTTTCTGGTAAAAGATACCTAAGGGAAATATTTCCATGAGAAATGGGCTTTATCACACAAGTAATAATGTAAATCTGTTATTCTAAAGCAATGCAAGTTGGTTAAGAATTTCTTTATCATTTCAGCATATTCCATTCCTTTCCCCCTGAAGAGTTATAAAGACAGAAATAATGTCTTTCTAATTTTGGTTACTTTCTCTTTAAATACTTGTTTCTTGGAATGTACACAAAGTCCAAGCACATTGTATGTTCTAACTCAATATTAACTGGTCAGAAGGCAGATGATGAAATGTATGAATTGGTTTTTAACTTCTCTCTCTTCCTCTGTAATGTGACAGTGGTACTTTGTCAGAAATAAAACTGGCCAAATGAAAATGGAAAATGAAAAATGAATACAGAAAAAGGTCTTTGCATAATAGTCACTTTCCTAGAAAAAAAAATAAACATGCAAACAGAAAAGCTCATGACAGATCTTCTAGAACATACTCCCATTTCAATTCAAGCAGCATTAGGAAAAGGGGGGAAATGCCCTATTTTGAGCACATAAGAGAAAGATGCATAGTTTTTCCCTAAATATGCCATGGGATTTTATTCCTCTATGCCTTTTGACTTGCTGTTTGATCCATCTGAAGTTTGTTCCCTCCTTCTTTTCCCTGTCAACACCATATGTACGAATGAATACTAGTGTGATCATATAGTTTATTGTCCAAAGAAAACCTTCAAGCATGAAAAGGCAGTATTATAATTGTGCCTGGATAACAATGTAAACTGGGACTGACCCAGGAAACCCTGGGTGTTCCAATGTTTACCCTATCCAAGGAGCAGCACAAATGTCCCGCTCCCTCTATGGGGAGCCTTTCCAAATGTCCCAAATCAGAGTGAATTCCTCCTTCTTCTGTGCTCAGCTTAGGAATTGGCTTAAATCTGTGATTACATGGACTCCCAATTTAGCTAGTTAACGTACTTCTCTGAATCGTCTGCCAAGTTAAGAGCTCCTAAAGAGCAAGGAATTCTTTATTCATTTATCTATCCCCAATATCAAGCGGTGTGTTTTTCTCCGAGTTCCCTAAATATTTGCAAAATTGAAATTTTGATGACTAACAAATGTCTAAAATACACTTGGACAAAAAGAAAAATTCATGAGTCGGATGAAAACTTGATGCAAAATATCTCAAATGTTGAATACTAACTGGTCTTCCGTCTACACCCTGACAGTTCCTGGGGAAAATCACAGATGATGACAGACTGTGATACATTAACTCTAACTCTCCAGCATCATAAGGTAAGTGTCGCTTTGTCACCATGAGGGAGAAACCTAAGGTTTGGGACATGGAGTGGTTTGTTAGAGCTATAAAAGATACTTCCATATTTCATAAAAAGTAAGTATTTGGTTATAGAAAATTGCTATTAGTTATTTGAACTCTTTCTGAAAAATAAAGTGGGTCAGGATCTATAGAAGACATCCACGTAAACATAGATCCTGCTGTTTAACTTCCAGAAGTTTCTAGGAAATGACATGTTTGAACAAAGTCTTTGGATGTTTGACTGACTACAAGATTTCTTTTTTTTTTTTTTTTTTTTTTATTTATTTATTCGTCAGAGAGAGAGAGGGAGAGGGAGCGAGCACAGGCAGACAGAATGGCAGGCAGAGGCAGAGGGAGAAGCAGGCTCCCTGACGAGCAAGGAGCCCGATGTGGGACTCGATCCCAGGATGCTGGGATCATGACCTGAGCCGAAGGCAGCTGCTTAACCAACTGAGCCACCCAGGCGTCCCTGACTACAAGATTTCTTAGCCATACATTTCATGTTATCTAGAAATAGTACTAATATGCAGACAATATAAAGGTGCTCTATGTGAAAGAAATATGTGCAGACACATAAGCAACTTTTTGGTAACTTGGAATAGTATAAAAGTTATCTATATATATAAGTTATGTATATAACTTATATAAGTTATATATAACTATATAAATAGTGATGATATTAAAGATCATGAAAGATACTTCTCCCCTTATGTCTTTTTTTTTAAGATTTTATTTATTTATTGACAGATCACAAGTAGGCAGAGAGGCAGGCAGAGAGAGAGGAGGAAGCAGGCTCCCTGCTGAGCAGAAAGCCCGA